CGAGATTTCGGTCACACAGCGTACACCAAACCCACAAGCCTTTCCGTCAATTGCAACCATTCACTACGGACATTTGTGGCTGCTCAAGTGAAAATAGTGGAACTAGTGGATGCCCACGTGAGACCACTTATCAAACTGAGTGTTACTCAGTTACGCACACTAGTGAGAGTGGGTTCCGAGGGGTGCACTTAACTGCGGTTTTGGGGGGTCACCACACTACTCAATCATCGTACCTAGCACAGCCAACAGCGCCTACCTTCAACAGTTCGTCAAACAGATTATGTGTGCTCATTACACAAAAACGCAGTTCCACGTCCAGTTGCGACTGTATCCGTTGTGCATGTGAGAATAGAAGTGGGACAATAATTATCGACGTCATCGACGCTATCGCCGACACTGTGACGCCAGCGAATGTGAGACGACGATAGCCGGTGATGTCCTTCTTGTCCTTTTCCTCCATCTCACTCGATCTCCCAGCCCAGCCGTCTAAAAGTAATGAACGTTAGAGATTCGAGCAGTTACTTATTTGACAGTTGCAATCATGACATGCGTACGATATGATTTAAAGTTATGACATGCGTACGTTATGATAAGAAGTTGCAATGTAAATAAAGTGGATTCAAAAATTGGATCAAAAACAAAATTTACAGAAGGTATCAAAGGGATTGTTCAAGTGACTTCATGACCTCCGCATTCCTACCACTAAATAAGTGACTAACGAAAAAAAAGATGGAGAAAGGGATGAAATAAAAAACTACCAGAGAATTCTTTTTCTTCCACTCTCTTCTACATTATCAAAGAAGCTCAAGTGTTGAAAAGCTTCTGATCAGTCAGATTGTAAACAAATCAAAACTATGAAAGAACATCGCCCTTTGACTGTAGGATGCTGGGCGAGTTTATTAGAAGTAACAAAATAGCTGCTAGAGACAGACTTGTGCCCATCAAAGGCTCCCAATTGTCACCATTTGTCTGTCAAAGTGAAGATACTTAGGGTGCTGCCAGACTGCGGGGTTTGTTCGATAAAACGTCTGCGCCAATGCTTTTCCAGAAATAAGAGATTGTTCGCGGCTTATAGTTTGCATGTTCCGAAAAGCGATGTTGAATGAACATAAATCTTTAAGAAAGTTTGAGCATAGACAGTATGCGGATTCTCATGTCTTCTTCAACCTTTCCGGTCTGGAATAAGAAAAAGCAGTGATTATGCAGGGCAGAGCATTATGCTGTAAATCTTCAGCAAAATATTTTTTCTCTTATAATTACTACCGGTTCGCCGTATTCTTCGTTTTTTATCTTGCCGGAACACGCTTGCAGACTGTATTAGAAAAAGGCTGCTAACTTAGTTCAAGTTCGGTCACCATAAATTTCTATTCTTTGCGCGCGCAAGAAAAATCTATTTATATTCGAGATTCCTATTTTGGTAAACTAGATTTCTGTCAGCACAAAAAAGATATCACCAAAATTGTTAGCAACAATCGCATAATACAAAACCGGTTTTGGAGGTAGCTGATCTATTAGCATGCTCGGCTGCAGAAAAAAGGAAAGGGTTCCAGATAGCGCCCGCGAGTTTTATTTATAAGAAGAAACAAATATAATTATAAATCATATTCAAGTAGAAATCTCGCTG